TAATTTCATTTTCTTTGTGCTGAGTAATATTCTATTGTTCATATATGCCACATTGTCTTTATCCACTCATCTGTTGAAGGGCACCAAGTTGTTTTCATAGCTTAGATATTGTGAGTTGAGGGGCTACAAACACTGATGTAGCTGCTGATTTTAAGTCCTTTGGGTATATGCCAAGGAGTGGGATAACTGGGTCAAATGGTGGTTCCATTCCAAGTTTTCTGAGAATCTGCATAATGTTTTCCAGAGTGATTGCACCAATTTGCAGTCTCGCCAGTAATGTACCTTTTCTCCCACATTCTTGCCAATATTTATTGTTACTTATAGTCTTGATATTTACCCTTCTGACTGGAGTGAGATGATGCTGTACGGGCCACCAAATGCCGCAGTCTGGCTGGGCACAAAATAACCCGAGCCGCCACACAGCCTTGTAGGTTCAAACAGGAATTCCTTTATTCTCCGCAGTCCCCACGCACAGGGCCTTCTTCCGGGCCACACCACACACCAACCGGAAATCCCTCCTCCTGCACTTCCCCAACCAATGGGAACTCTCCCCTGGAATCCCGGGGAGAACTCCAAAGTAGCAGGCCTAGGGGGACAGCAGGGGTCTAATATACAATTGAATACACAGCTTAACATAACCATTATCATCTCAATGGCTTGCAGTGTCACCTCTCAACCACTCATTCTGGCAAAAATGCCATGCGTCATTCCGACTAGGCTCTCAGCACTTTTTCTTCTAATAGGCTCAGGGTCTCTGGTCTAATGCCAAGGTCCTGGATCCACTTTGAGTTGAGTTTTGTACAGGGTGAGAGATAGGGGTCTAATTTTATTTTGCTACATATGGATTTTTAGTTTTCCCCGCACCGTTTGTTGAAGAGGCTGTCTTTCCTCCAACATATCTTTATGACACTTTTGTCTATTATGAGATAACTGTATTTACTTTTGTGGGTTTGTCTCTGTGCCTTCCTGAGCAGACAAGTTTTAAAAGAATGACTTTTACTATTGTGTGAGAAATAGATAGGGGACACAGAAGAAGGGAACAAGCTATGAAACTTACAGCAAATCCAGCAAGAGAGGTTAGCAGCTCAGACCAGGGAGATGGCAACGAGTGGGGTTTGGGTCACAGACCTATTTGAAGTTACAGTCAACAGAATTTCTGGATGGGTTAGATGTGTGATGTGAGAAAAAGAAGAGTCAAAAAATAGTGGAAAGAGTTGGAAGAACTCTGCAATGAAAATTATAGAATAGAGAAGAATGAAATCGAAAAAAGACCTTAGAATATGAAAAGACTTCCCATCTCCTTGGATAGGCAAAATTAATATTGTCAAGATGACCATACTACCAAAAGCAATCTACAGATTCACTGGGATCACCATCAAAATACTAGTGACATTCTTCACAGAACTAGGAAAAAAATGTCCTAAAACTCACACAGAATAATAAAAGACCCAGAATAGCCAGAGCACTCCTGATCAAGAAGAATGATGCTAGAGATATCATGACACTGGATCTCAAATGATACTACAGAGCTATAGTAACAAAATGAGCATGGTATTGGCATTAAAACAGACATGAAGACCAGTGGAATAGTAGAAGACACAGACAAACCTATGTAGATACAGTCATTTGATCCTTGAAGAAGATAAAAAAATATATATTATATATATATATATATATATATATATATATATGCTGGTGAAAAAAACCAACCTTTCAAACAAATGGTGCTAGGAACATTGGATACATATGTAGAAAAATGAAACTATAATCCAGTCTCTCACCCTGCACAAAAAAATCAACTCAAAGTAGGTCAAAGATAAACCAGAAACACTATAACTGCTACAAGATAACAGAGAGCCAACACTCCAACTTATAGGTACAGACTCTGACTTTGTTAATAAAGTCAGAGAAAGCTTGAGAAATAAAACCAAGAATCAATAAGTGAGATGGCTTCAAATTTAAAAGGTCTTGCACATTGAAAGAGCCAAGAGTGTGAAGAGAGATCCTACAGAATGGGAGAAAATCTTTGCCAGCTCTACTTCTGATGAGATTCATATCTGGAACTAAAAAAATTTTAACACCAAAAAAAAAAAAAAAAAAGAAAAAAGAAAGAAACAAAGAAAGAAAATCCAATCAATAAATGGGCAAATGAACTTAGTGGACATTTCTCTAAAGAAGAAATGCAAATAGTCAATACATATATGAAAAGACGTTGACTATCTTTAGAGTCAAGAAAATGTAAATCAAAACCACACTGAGAATTCATTTCACTACAGTTAGAATGGCAATCATCAAAGATACTAATTACAATAAATGCTGGTAAAGATGGGGGGGCAGGTATTCTCAAACATTGTTGGTAGGATTGCAAATTAGTACACTCACTTTGGAAAGTAATATGAATATCCTTCAAAAAGAACAGGAATGGACCTATCATAAGGCCCAGCTATACCAATTTGGTATTTATCCCAAAGAACTAAAATCAGCCTACTATAGTGATACCCACATACTAATGTTTATAGCAGTGCATGGAACCAGCCTCGGTGTCCCTCAATAGATGAATGGATAAATGTAGTATATATACTCAGCCATAAAGAAAAATGAAATTATATAATTTGCTGGTAAGTGGATGGAACTAAAGAACATCATGCTAAGGGGAAGTAAACCAGATTCAGAAAGTCAAGCTTAGACCAGAGAGAGATCTAAGCTGGAAATAAAACTTGCGAAGTCATCCACATAAGGATGTGATTTAAATTGTGATTCTGGAAGCAAACACCAAGGGACTGTGTACAGAAATGAAGGGGACCAAGGACTGAGCCCTATAACTCCTCATGGAAAAATTGAGCAGAAGAGAAGGGACCAGCAGAGGAAACTGGACAGAAATGACCAGTGTCCTGGAAGCCTAGAGAAGAAAGCATAGAGGAGAAAGAAAGAAGAAAGACATCTCAGTGCTCTGACAGGTCATGATAGGGGCTGCAAACCAGGACATTTTCCAATTTTGTGGTCACTGGTAACCTAGACCAGAGCTGTTTGGGTAGAGGGTGGGGAGTGTGACAACCAACACTTAGCTTAAGTATGATTAAGAATTACTGTTGTATCATGACTGTCATGCTCAGGGGATTGACATAATGAATAAAAATTAATTCATTCAAATAAGGATGGCTGCCCCATCCTTATTTACACTGTACAAAAGGATCCTACATGTAAATGGATAAACACAGCCTCCAGTTGCTAGCGGAGCCTGATGTTCCCCTTCTTGCTAACTTCCAGAGAACTTGGCAGCCTGACTTGAAAGCAGCCAGGGATCGCAGAGGCAAGGGTGTCAGAAGGTAGAGACATGATGCCTCCTGCCACTGACTGACACGCACCTCGGGAGGAGTCACTGTTCATTTAGGGAGAGAATCTCAAAGACGAATGATACCTGCCAAGAGAAGCTCCAGACCAGTCATTGAATGAATCCATTTCACTTTTAATTTTAGAAGGAAACCATCAGGAAGAGTGGCAATAAAATCATAAAAAAAAAAAAAATTCCTAGTATTTTTTTTCACTGATTGGAAAAAGAAGCATTGTGGAAATGTCCTTCCAGTGCTCTTTTTTCACATCATCCTACAATGAGTGACTTCTGAGTTCCCTAAGTATTGGGACTTTGAAATATCTTTCCATCAAAATGCATAATTCTTTCTGTGACCCATCCCTCTCTATTTCATTCTTGTTAGAAATAGATTTTCAGTTTTACAATAAAGGCACATTAAGTTTTGAAACGGTAAAACCACGTGCTCTCTTTGTGCAAGTGGCAATTTTATACCTCAGGAGATTTGTCAATCCCCTGAGCAGGATAGTCACTGATACAAAATTAAAATCCACTATTCCAAATCATTAAGATGGACCCCTTGAGGGGGAAGGTATAAACAATGCTGATTTTGTCTTTTTGTCTTTCCCGTCCTGCCTCTCTTCTGCCCTATTATGTAATTGGTAAGAACACTGGGTAGATTGTGAGCTTTGGATCTGTAGAATGAAGTATGGTGGTCCTTTTGTTTTAAGCAGCCGCTCCAATGTTTAATAGCATTTGATAAGGAAATTGGAGTTCTTAGAATAAGTGTATGATGTGAAAACACCAAGAATTAATCCAGAAATCAGTATAGGAGAATCTGTGAATTGCCTGTCACTCACAACACCCTTTGCCTCACTTTCCTCTTTCCTGTGGTAGGATCATCATGTTACAGGACCCTTGCAGGATGGTAGATGTTATGTGAACAGCTAATGCTATTAATGATGCCAGCAGCCTCCCCTCACACTTGAACCTGTCTATACCCCCTATGTCCCCTTGTTGCTTTGGCCCCCCTCATTCTTGTACTTGCCCATCAGTTACATTTTGTATTTAAAGACCACTCTGTACAAAAGCCTGTGATCACAGGAGCAGCCCTGAATCTTCGCACCCACCCCCGCTGGCTGGAGTTAATATTCTGATTCAGTGTTGTTTCTAAAACCAGTTTGATTTATACCTTCCCTATTGCATTGTGTTTTTCTTCCACAGCCACATACAGGTCATGCCCCAACTGGTCACTGCATGGTTCTTCATTAGACTGGTTTGGGTTTTATAAGGTGTTAGAATTTTTGAATGAGCTCTTAGGGTCCCTCACATGTGAGTTTATGCCAGAGAAGTTATGGAATGATTAACTTAATAGATGCTGTTTATCCCCAAAGACGACCGGCTTTATTCATACTTAAGCTAAGTGTTGGTGGTTAACAAACAATTCTTTGTAAATTGTGATTGCAGAACCAGGCAATTTTATGGCCTTTTTTTCCTAGCAGTATAAATGATTGGGTAGCTCATTAAGTTTACCATGTTGAACGAAAGCCTCCCTACTCCAAAGGATGGTGAGGATGAAGAGAGAAGGAATCATTAAAGGGGATCTTTAAGAGAGAAAAAAAAGTAGCCCTAGCATATCAGAATGTACAATTAATTTTCCCTAATTGTTCCTTTTCTGCATTTTCCCCTGCAGAGCTGCTCAGAAGTTAAATCTGTCTTCCAAAAAGAAGAAACATCGACCTTCTACTTCTTCTGTTGCTGAGACACCTCTCTTTGCCACCAGCTTCAGTGGGATTCTGCAGACCTCCCCTCCCCCAGCCCCACCCTGTCTGCTGAGGGCTGTCAACAAGGTGAAGGACACTCCAGGCCTGGGCAAGGTAGGCACCTCTTCACCATCTGCTCAGTGCGGGGTTTGGGATCAAGTTTGGGAAAGAAGAAAACAAGGGTTCCAATTTGTTAAAATACCAAGGTACCATGGACAAAAGGAGACAGAATGAAATTGATTTGGAGGTAATAGTTGTCCCCCCTTTATCTATGGTTTCGTTTTCTGCTTTTTTTAGTTACCCATGATCAACTTCAGTCCAAAAATATTATGTGGAAAATTCTAGAAATAAAAGGTTATTATAGTTTTAAATAAATTTTATTATAGTTATAGTTGTTCTAGTTGTTCTATTTTATTATTATTGTTGATTTCTTACAGTGACCAATTTGTAAATTAAACTTTATCATCGTATATACAGGGTTTAGTACTATCTGCAGTTTGGGGCATCCACAGAATGTCTTGGAACACATCCCTCACACCTAAGGGAGAACTAGATGTGACATTCAGCTTTTTATTGTTGTAACTAAAATACCTGGCAAGAACACTTCAGAGGAGGAAAAGTTTATTTTGGCTTACAGTTTCAGAGGTTCAGTCCATGGATTAGCTGACTGTCACTGTGGGCCTGAGGTGAGGCAGAATATTGTGGTGAAAGGGTATGGTGGAGGAAAGCTGCTCAAAAAAACCCCACAAAGGCATACCCCTCCATGACCTCCTTCCTCCAGCCACACCCACCTGCCCGTAGTTATCCCCCGGTACAGTAGTCCTTTCAAATTACTAGTCCATCAAATGTATTAATCCACTGATTCGGTTACATAATCTAGTCATTTCACCTCTGAGCATTCCTGCATTGTCTCACACATGAGCTCTCAGGAGACACCTCCAATTCAAACCATAACACTCTCTACTATAAAATTTTCTGGTTACATAAATTAAATAAGACATTCAAATTGTTGGAGACCTGATTCGGTTTTGGTGGGAAGAAAAATACCTTTGCATTACTTGACAGAGCTATAGGTATTTGAAGAAAAAGACACAAAAGAGAGGCAGAGTCAGGAGACCCAGAGTAGATGAGGTCTAGGACAATGACATAAAGGCACTTCATAATTTCCCTGTGGCAGTTTTTTTTTTTTTTTTCTCCCCTTCAGAGAAATCATGACCTCTGCATCTGAACCAGACCACCAATGGGATTTCTGGGAAGCATTTTCGGTCATGCCTTTCTAGTGAGAAATGCAATTTTGCATTGTTACAAAGACTTAGAAAGACATGTAGGAATTCTCTTATAAGATGCCACTTTGCTACGTTTGGGATAACTCTATTTTTAAATGTCATCTCTAGGCCTTTTCTTTCTTTTGAGATAAATGTATGAGTGAAGTAACTCACAGCTTCTTTGGTAGGTAAATAAGTTGGGACTTGTGAAAACACTGAGCTGATAAAAAAAGGGGCAAAAACTCTTTTTTTTTTTTGGTCACAAGTCGATTGATGCACACTACCTGGTGACCTGACTTTGGCCTTGGGCTTCATTTTGGAAAGTGCCTGTTTGTGTTAGCTTTTTATCCCTGTGACAAAATACCTGAGGAACAACAACTTAGAGGAGAAAAGACTTATTTTGGCTCATGGTTTCAGAGGGTCCGTGGTGGGCTAACTCCATTGCTTTGGGTCTGAATCGAGGCAGAACATCATGGTCAAAGGGTGTGGCCCAGGAAAGCTGCTCTCCCCAAGAGAAGCACAAAGCAAGGATGGGGGTAGAGGCAAGATCCACCCTTCAAGGGCTTGTCCCCAGTCACCCACTTCCTCCAAGTAGGTCCTTCTTCCTACAAGTTTCCCCACTCCCATTAAGCCATTCAATTATAAACTCATCAGTGGATTAATTCCCTCATTAGAACAGAGCCCTCATGATCTAATCACATCCCCAAAGCCCTGCTTCTTTTACATTGCTGCATTGGGGACCAAGCCTTCAACACAGGAGCTTTGAGGCACAGTCCAGATCCAAACTATAATGATGGTCTTGCTGAAGGGGACAGCAGCTAAACTGTACAGACAGATTTTACTAGTTCACATCAGACTTCCTGTTTCCTTTACACTCAAATATGTTCATATCCAGGTTTACGGTCTTCAGAAGGCTGCTGTACCCCCAATGTTGATCCTGGCATCTGCTGCCCCTTCTTCCTTTATTTTCTTCCTCACTCTCCATTTCTCCTGTCTCTTTCCATTTCTCCCACCCGAGTCTCACCATCTCCTTGGGAAAGTCTTAACTTCATGACACTCTTTCCAAAAGTGTTTAAATTTTGAGATTAGGTTGGATCAAGCAATGGTTACTCTAATAGAAGGCATCYAGTTCTGGAACTGGACAGGGCAGATAGTTGTTGGCTGAAGACTTTCCCAGGACCTGAGGTAAATTCCCACCTGATCAGCAGGGGAAGGCTGGTGACACTCCCACTGGGGAGCACAGGAGTCATGGAATGATAACTGCTAAGGACTGTGGGTCTCTTTAACTACAGAGCCCGCCTTTTAAATCTGGTAAAAAGCACACAGCATGCAATTTACCATCTTAGCCATTTTTAAGTGTGCTTGGGCTTTTATTTGATAAGAGTTCAGAACATCAGTGCTGACAGTTACAGGGAAAGCCAGCCACCATTCCATATCCTGCTCCCAGCTCCAAACATCATCCCCCTCCTCTTCTGAATAAGCATGAACAAATAAGTACATGACATCCCTTTTATGAGAGGCACCAGATTACTGGCCAGTGTGGGGCACTCATATAACTCCACATGGCCTTGTTCAAGACACCTCAAAATGAACTACATTGGAACTGTCTTCCTGCATCTGTCACACTGGCCTACAAGGTCTGATGTGAATGCACCTTCTGGTGGGCCTGGGCCCCAAGCCTAAGGCCTTTGTTCTCTTCTTCCTCATCCTTAAGGTCCTCCCTAGAATTCTGACAAGGGAATAAGGCTAGGGACAGACACAGAGAAGTGTTGACCCAGCATTTTCATAAAAATAGTTGGAGGATAAAGGGCACTGGTTTAATCTTGATTTCATGATGTACCACTGTAGCAACCAGGTGTGAGGGGCCTTACAATGAATAGTTGTAATAAACTAAGGTTTGTAGATTTTACATTTGTTTGTTTAAAATTAAAACTGTGATCTCCCTTACTCATTCTCAGTTCTAAATGCAATCAAAGCCTTGAGTTTGTCCATGGAAGTGTATCATGGATGAGGGCATCAGCCTGGGGATCACAGAAGGTGACCAGTAGATACATGGCAGCTGAATCTACCCTCTTGTCCTGCTGAGCCTTCAGGGATAGGATGTGGGGTGTGGTAGTCAGAGGGAATGTGTTCTCTGGAAGATACGAGTAGCCATATACTTGTTACATTAAATGTGTACTTTCATTAAAACAAGAAGTTATCAAGCATACATTTGATCTTGCTTCTTCCTGCTTAAAGAGTGTCTGGTTTTTGTAGCCAGGCACAATGGTGCATGCCTATAATCCCAGCAGCTCAGGAGGCTGAGACTGGAGGATCGTGAGTTCAGGGCCAGCCTCAGCAACAGGGAGACACTAAGCAACTCAGTGAGACCCTGTGTCTAGATAAAAAAATACAAAATAAGGCTGGGGATGTGGCTCAGTGGGAGAGTGCCCCTGAGTTCAATCCCCGGTACCCACCCACCCCMCTAAAAAAAGAGTGTCTGGCTTTCACAGTGGCAGCAATTTTTACTCTGCCATGCCATAGAGGTGTCCAACTGCCTGACCCATTTTCTCAGACTCTGGCTTTGTCCACCTCCACTGATATCTCACTATAATTAGGACCTGCAGCTTTCTGTACCCATGTGGAAAAAAATTCCATCCATTTATCTCTGTTGCATAATTTACATTTTAATACCTCAAAGAAACACAATGGAGTTTAATATAGAACATAAATAATTGGCACTATTTATAATTCGGCAAGTTTGAAGTAGCTGAGCTTGATTGAATTGCCCAAAGCAATTTGACTTTTTAAACTTAAGCTGGGGCTTTCTGGGGTGGGGATGGGGAGAACGAGGGGGCTTCAACACTTGAGGTGGCAGTCTAACAATTGCCTATTAAACCCTAACTACCCAGGATCTCACTCTGGAAACCTGGGAGGTTTCCACAGGCATGGCAAGGACTTTAGGGATTTATCTAGAAGAGCAATCCTCTTATTTAGTAAACAAGAAAACTGAGGCCCAGTGAGGGGAAGAGATTGGCTGGTGGACTCTAAACTCAGGGGTGGAAGTCAAGATCTTTATGGTGTTATATTTGCTACCATTTCACCCGAGTGCCAATGGATATAAGTGACTTTTTAAAATCTTGGGTGGAGACAAGAAGGCTCTGGATGCATAGTGGTAGCAGAATAATATTGGGAACTAGTTGCTCTCAACCAGTGGAGAAGGGTTTACTTTTCTTTTCAGAGTCATAGGTGGGAGATAAAATGTAATCATATTCAGGAACAGACAGATAATAAGATGGAGAAGGGCAGTTGTCCACACCAGCTCCATCATTCCCACTTTCTGCTGCTTCCAGAAGCATCCCCTAATCTCCTGCCACCATGACAGTCATTATTATCTGTTAGTACTTGAGGCCATGGAAGAATTTGAGATAATTTCAGGTTACTTGGACCTGAGCACAGCACACACACACAGGATTGGTTTCAGGATCCCCAGCTCCTAGAGCAACTCCTGGAATGCAGCAAATATTTGTTGAGCATCTACTATGTGTCAGGCACTTGGCAGTGTATTTACCATGATGGATAAAGAAGAATGTCTGTGCTTACTGAGCTTATAATCTAGGGCTTTATTCCAATCAAAGTTAGAAATCTCATCAACTTAGACCAATATGGCAAACATATGATTTCAGAAAAAATAAGAATGATAGACTTAAAACGATTTCAAATTGTACAAAGAAACGATTCTACTAAGTGGCCTTGTAGAGACATTCTTAAAGAGCAGATAAAGATGATTAGTGGATCAAAGCAGCTTAGTTCCCTTTTTTATTGCCTTGATTTGGCTTATATGTAAATGATACTTCTAATCTATTTGAA